CGGGCGACTCCGCCGCGAGCCCGCGATCGGCCGGGCAGCAGCGTCCGCACCTGGCGGTGCCGCCGACCCGGCTCGGCGCAGCCGCGCTTCTTTGTGGCGTTGGCTCTGCCGGAAAGCGGGAATGTCCTGGGGGCTGCGGGATGGGCGTCTGGGACGCAGCCTCCGCCTCGGCAACTTTCCGCCCACCGCGAACTTGCGAGTCGTCCGCGGGGACGCCGCGCGCGCGTGCTTTGCGCGAGTGAGGGCGGCAGGCGCCCAGGGGATCCGGCGCTCCGAGCGCGTCCTGCAGTCTAAGGTGTTTTCGCCATCGCTCCCTCAGGCGCACTGTGACCTCTTTATTCGGAACCCGGCTTCAGGTCGGAGTGGCTGATCGAGCGCAGGGCAAAGTCGCGAACGAGTGTTGCGGCAGTGAGGCGGTAGTTAATCTGGTCAACGAAATCGCTCTCTTATTATTATAATCAGTCCATTTCGTTTAACACAGTGTTTGCAATTTTTTTGAATCTTTAACTGTAGATTTTTAGAAACATCAAACACACGTGGGTAGATAGGTACCTGAGAGGGCTCTCCTTTGTACGTAATATTCACTTTGCACAAAACATCCTTGAGATTTTGATTTAGGAGATCAGTTCTCTCCCCCGCAACTACCACTCTAAAACGGTCAACGTCTTCCTGCAAAATTTTTTGAGGAAAAACTTTTTGCAGCAAATAGGGTAGTGAAAATTGTGCTGAATGCTCTCTAACAATGAGGTCCCTGTGTAAATTGGGGAAGGTAAGGAAGAGATCTAGTAGTAAAGGTAGAGCAGCTGTATTCTCTGTTTTATGGAAATTGCCTCAAAAATATAAAAGGATTATTGCCCTGCATTGGAGAGCTACTTAAGGAAAGTTTGAATTAATGATAAATTTTCTTTGCTAACACAGTTTTTTCCAATCTTCACATTTTTTCAGTGAACCTGACTCTCAAAGATTCGATCTGGTGCTTCCCATGACACTAGCCATAAAAACCAAGTTGTTACACTTCTCTAAAGGCCAGTTTGTGTAATTGTATCTTAAATTCTGTGTGGTAGTGTACAGTTTACAGAAATTTGAAGGTAAAGTTTGCAATTGAATTAGCTTTTGGCTTCTATTTAGTTAATTATGTTTGCCTAATATCCAGTGTGGTATATGGATATGTAACTTGAATACTTTATAACTCTTAGCTTTACAAACAATACAGTACATGAGTACAAAAATCTGTCATATACTGTCCATTCTTAAATAATTCTCAGGGTTATTCATCTTGATACTATGTTACACCATGGACAAAATGAGTGGATTTAAAATTTCATGCAACACTGCAAAGTGAGAAAAGTAGAGTATAGGAATTTGTGATTATAGAATTAATTTCAGTTATATTTTAGTTCTTAATGTTCGAAGAATGCAAAAGTTACGTTTTACAAATTATGATTCTTCTAAAATATACCTATTATGTCCTAATGATCTGTGCTTTATTATGTAACAGTAGTTATGTTCTGTGTGCGATATAGAGTAATGGAAAATCAAGACCATTATCCCTGCTGACCTTTAGGTCTATATAATGTCATCTTCTGAAAGCTTACAGACATTAAATATTTTATTTACCTGGCTTAGTAGAAATTAACTTATGTCAGTTAAGCATGGTAGGATAGAAATGTAGAGAAAAATCCAAGAAAATTTACCAAAATAGTTCTTTTAACGCTTAATTTTTCTTAAACATACAATTGGTCTCTTGCTATATGAACTTTTAGACTATAAAATTGTCAGTTGAAGGGTTGGGGATATAGAGGTTTAAATTTCTTTTTTGTTTTAAATGAGTAGCTATTTCATTAGTAAAGAATTGTATTTTCTTATTGTAGCTTGGTGTGTGCCTTGCCTAGTTTCACTTGATACTCTTCAGGAATTATGTAGAAAAGAAAAGCTCACATGTAAATCGATTGGAATCACCAAAAGGAATCTAAACAATTATGAGGTGGAATACTTGTGTGACTACAAGGTAGTAAAGGTAAGGCAAATATCTAGCCCCTTAAAAGAGACCTAATCACACTTAAGTATTTCATATTTCTGTAACATAAAAAGAACTTTAATAATAACCAAAGACGTTCTTAATGTTTAAAATTAAAAACCATGACAAATTTGTCCTGTCATGTACATTTGCCAGATAACTGAGAGGATTTTTAAGCACAGAGTGTGCTTAGAGTATTTGAAGGTGTTTTTATCATTCTACATCCAACTCTTGATTATCTCCATGTGGGTTACCAGGGCAAATGTTTGATCTCAGATTGACTCCTCTTATCGTTTGTTCTGTTCCTGAATTATATTTCTCCACTATCAGCTGAAATGGACCCAGAGTGTGAACCAATATTAATATTACTGAATCTCAGGAAACATTACCATTTGTATCTCCTCCCATCATGTCAAACCCCAAATATGAATGTATGCTATAATAGAATGGCCTGATTTTCAAAGTCCTTTCTAATTTTTGCTTAGTACCTTATGACTAAATTAAGTTCTCTGGGATTTTCTTTATTCCTCTTAAAAATACATTTTTCTAAGAAATTTTTTTTTATCTAAACCTTACATTTGCAAGTAATTCTTTTATCTTTAGCTTTCTTCTGAAGAACTCTTTCTGTCATTAATCTCTTTCAGATAAATCAGTGAGGATGCATGCTTCAATTTTTTTCTTTTCTGTCTTCATCTTTGTTGAATCAGTCACTAAATCCATTTTTTTAAATCCAATTCTTTGAAATGTCCATCTTCCTGCCTTTGGTATTAACTTCTCTCTCAATAGGATCTTATGATCAGGCATTTTCACCTGTACTTTGCATTCTTCAACTTGTGAGACAACCCAGGCATCTACTGCCATTGTTTACAAGCTCTGGACTGACCAGTCTGGCTAAGAATATGATTTTATCATGCATATGGGCTCTGCTAAAACAGTAGTTCTAGCCCTTGGATAACATGTGAAGCATAAGTAGGTGACAAGATACGCCACGATATCCAGAATGTGGAGAGTTGGGCTAAGCTGCCGGCAGGCACAAGACCTGTGTGTTACTGGCATGAACAGGGAAGCAGAGGGAGAGGGTGTTGGCAGCGCTGAAGTAGCCCAGAGCTCTTGGAGAGGGTGGGCCCACTTGAGAGCAGGGGTGGACATGTGTTGCCCACTCCAAAAGTGGATGAATGAAGGGACCAAATGTTTGGAGACAAGTTAGCTTCCATTAGTGGGTTAACATCTTTTTATTAAAAAAAATTTTTTTTAAAAAGACAAAATATTAAAATGTCTAGGCCTGTCCCAGTGTGATAGTTTTTTCTTAGAAAAAGGATGGGTATTGAAAGCCGTTAACATATTTGCTCACTGTATGGAACTGTGGCGTCCAGTTTGTCACTGTTGACTTGAAGCAGGGGTGACCCAAACTGAGACATGCTGTTAACTGTAAAATACTGGAGTTTGAAGACTTGACGTAGGTTGAAAAAAGTGTAAATAGCTTGTTTTCTAATGTTGCTTAATGGGGCAATGACTCAGTACAATAAGCGCTTCCCTGGCAAGTGCAAAGGTCTGAGTTCAATCCCCGGCTCTGCCAAAAAATAAATACATAAATAAAGTGGGAAAAAAATATTTCTGTTCTCATATTGCTCGGGCCGGGGAGATGGCTCAGTAGGATAAACACTTGACTGTTCTCATATTGCTCAATTCTACTTGATAAGATTTTTTTAATCTGTGGGTTTTTTTCCCACTTTTGTCAGCAGTTTTTCTTATTTTTGTTACTTTTCTGGACATCTTCCTCTACCTCTTATTACTGATAGTTGAAGAAGAGTTCTCAAGATCCTTCAAGTATGAACTCTTTAACACCAGTAATCTATATTTTCTTCCTTTATTTCAATAATGTCATTTACTCTTTCTTTCTATTCCTCCTAGGACTGCCTAATCTGTGGTGTCTTTTTTTATCAGGCACTGTTTTCACTAATTTGTCTGAAGTCAGTAAACATGTATGTTTCCAACATTCAGAAATTTCTCTTTGACTTTGCCTCTTCACTCATGTATTTCTTATACTGTGTTTTCCTTCATTGTCACTTCCCCTTGATTTTTTAACAGCTATATTGACATATAATTTACATGTCATACTGTTCACCTGTTTAAAATGTAAAACTCAAATCTTCAAATATTCTCACTTAGTTTTAGAATATTATTCATTATCCCAAAAGAAAATACCAAACTCCTTCACAGTCACCTCCCAAATTTTATATGGCCATCCACAATGAGCCCACTACCACTACTTCTGCTTCCTTTATCTATAATCTTGCCTGTTCAGACTTTTTGTATAAAAGGAACCACATAGTCTGTGGGTCTCTAAGATCATTTTCTCTCAATTACCATGTTTTTAAGATTCATATGTGTTATAGTATGTACCAGTATATATATATTTTTTATTGCCAAGTAATAATTGACTATGTAGATATATTACATACCCATTTATCACCTAAAGGATATTTGGGTTGTTTCCATTTGGTGACTATTATAAGTAATCCTGCTATAAAGTTTCATATGTAAATTTCTGTGTCGGTGTAAGTTTTCATTTCTCTTGCTTCGTTTGATATGTTATTTCTGTGCTTAATTTTTCCAAAGCTCTTTGGTGTTCCTCCAGCAGTATGTGAGATTTTATCCTGACTAGTGTTTATTTTTACCCAACTTCTTATCCTAGTGGGTGTAAAGTGTGTCTCATTGCAGCTTTGATTTGCCTTTCTCTGGTTAATGATGCTGAACATCTTTTCATCATATTATTAGCCATTCATATATCTTTGGAAAACTGTACAGATCCTTTTTTAAAATTGGGTTGGCTTTTTACTGAATTACAATTTTTTTTCCATCCTGTGGGTTATGGATTCACTTCCATTAACTTTTAATCCATTTTTCATTTTGCTTTGATTTGTGCCCTTACAAATGACCCCCGCCACCAATAATGGAGATTGAACACAAGGCCTTTCATTTTTCAGCACTGAGGCAATATCTCACTAAGTCACTAAGTTGCCCAGACTGGGCTTGAACTTTTGATTCTCCTGCCTCAGCTTCTCAGAGTGCCAGGAGTATGTTACCATGCCCAATCACACAGACTTTTTTTTTTTTTTTTTGTGGCTGGCTCAGCCTGCCCTGGGAGTGGGGCTGGCTTGGCATGTGCTGCCAGGCCTCAAACCGTGGTCTCTGCACTTGCCTAAGCTTGTCAAAGCAGGCATTATAGTCCTCTGAGTTATCTCACCAGCCCTACAACAGACTTTCTTTTTTTTTTTTATGGAACGCTTCACGAATTTGTGTGTCATCCTTGCTCAGGGGCCATGCTGATTTTCTCTGTATTGTTCCAATTTTAGTATATGTGCTGCTGAAGCAAGCACTACAACAGACTTTCTAACAAGTTTGAGCACCTCAAATTTTATTCTCTTTTGCCACACTTAACACTATTGTCCATTTTCTTTCCTGTGGAGATAATGCCTATGTTGAAATTCTCTTATTTCTTATGTGTAATTTTTAGCAAGCAGCTGTACCTATTGTTGAGTTTCTTCATTTGTGAAATGGGGTGGTTATAGTATACGTTTCATGAAACTGTGATAGCAAATCTTTTTAGATTTCAATAACAAACCGCCTACCTGCTGCAGCACTCATGCCATAGGTCTGCCACCACTGTTGCAGGCCATTATTAGATGGGTTAACGTAGAGTACTTACAAGAGAGGCTGACACTCGTCATTATCCCCCTCTTCTTTTACACTTTTTGGATGTGCTTTAAAAATCTCTATCTCTTAACCCATACCCATCTTCCACTACAACATTGGTAATCTCCAAGGTGTTGTCCTTGGCTTTCCCCTTACAGTTGCTCTGTAGGTCACCTCTCCTAGTGGTTTCTGCATAGATCTGTGTGGTTCATGACTTGCAAAGCTTTTCTGAAGCTCTGAACTCTTTGTAGGCTTCATTTCAAACTGGGTACCCCATAGGTGCCAACTTGAGCACAATCAGAACTGCACCCTCAAGTCTGCATCCTATTCTAATAATGGTCCTTTTCTTTGTTAACATCATCACAATACTTCTAGGTTCCCAACTTTAATTTTGTACCTTGTTTCTTACCCTCTAAATCTAGTATATGAGGACTGGCAATATAGCTCAGTGCACTAAGCACTTTCTTAGGTAACACAGGGACCAGGGTTCAATCCCTGGCACCACATGCCACACCGGCGCACAGTCCAGGTGTGTGCATGCCTGTAATCCCGGCACCAAAGAGGCAGAAATCAGGAGGATCACTATGAGTCTGAGCTGTGTAATAAGACTGCACACAAAAAAAGAGAAAAATATCAATCAATCTAATACATGGTCAGATTGTGTTATCCATATCTTTTTTTTTTTTACAGGTTTGTGATTACATTAGGAGGGCACTTTTGAAAAATAATCATAAATTGAAATTATATTGTAATTTACAATTTAAAAAGCTAAGGAAGATACCCTTCTTGAAGTTTCATTGCAGGAGTAAGATCGTCTCCCAGCTCCCAAGTGTGGATAAGTTCTTGGCTGAGTGGTAATACTTGGTCACAACACTGAAAGGAAGTATTTACAACTTTTGAGCAAAGTACCAAAGATTTATCAAAGAATAAGACATCAGACTATTCCTAGTAACATTCCTTGGGAGGACAAAGTCAGCAGGAAATGATTATCCATAATGAAAATGAAGCTTTCAATAAATGTGTCTTCCTTAGCTTTTTAAGTTGTATAAACTGCAAATTATATAATTTCAGTTTAGGATTATTTTTCAGAAGAAATCTTTTAAACATGTAGAAACTCATTAATTCCTTTATTAATATTTATTTACCATGATAGCATCATTCCAGCCAGACTTGCTAAAAAACCTACTGGTGAGGCAAATACATATTTATAAAATTTCCAGTGGGAGTTCTATATTAAAAAAAAGTGTTTCTTTGGTATTCTTCATCGTGTGTTTTAAAATTTTACAAAATGCAGAGATTTTTCC